AGATTCCATAGTTTTCAGAATGTAGCCTATTATATGTATATATATATTAATATGTATATATATATAGGGTATTTTATTTTAAGTGATATGATTGATTATCTAGCGACTCGATGATTTTATTTAAAAAATTTTCGAATAAAAGTTGGCTTGAAGGAGTACACATGATGGAAATATGGACTTGACTTTGAGTAACTTTGTCAAAATCAGGTCAAGATTATTAATATTTTTTTAAATAGAAATCCCTATTTTTTATTACATATTCTTATCGTAGCTACAAACAGAACATCCCAGAAACGTTTCTTGCTAAACATTTCTTTTTTAATATCCAAATTATTGAAATAATAGCGAAGATGTAACATTATTGGAACGCCACGTAAATGTTACAATTGAAATATTATTTTGAAACATTCATGAAACATTTTATGAGCATTTTTATGTAACATTTCAAATTTGATGAAACATCCCTGCATGTTTTATGTTTAGTAAGAAGTATTATAAATTGATACACCATATTCTAAAATATGCACATACGATAAAATTATAAAAAAAAAAACGTTTTCATTTAAATTAGAGAATTAATTTTTATGATGCTCTCAAACCGTCACCTATTTTAAAGCTGTACCGCATATTACATATTTGACCTCTACAATCGTAAGGGAATTTCCTAGCAAATGAGAATGGATTGAAATGGTTTAAAATGGATCCAAATTTTCAGAAATACAGATTCATGAATGTTAAAATGAATTCTTTTCAATCTTGAATGCATTTTTATTCGTTTATAGGAATTGCATAGAGCATATCTCTATGCCTTTCAATCCAAAAATAATATTAGCATTTTCTGTGCATTGTGAATACTATTCAATTCAGAATTGTAAATAGGAAGTATAGTTTTTTTAATTCAGTTAAATGCAAAAATAATGTCAGCAATTTCTGTACAACGTGAATACTGCTCAATTCAATATTCTGAATATGAAATGCAGTTTTTCAATCTAATTAAATAAAAAAAATTTTTATTTAAAAATAGATCATAAATGCTATTTAAATTATTCAAAATTATAAGTAGAAAATTTTTCGTTTTAATCCAACATGTGTGTGAAGTTGACACTTCATCTTTTGGCACCGCAAATTTTGATAAGAGTTCTATTGGCACTCGCAATAATTCTATAGTTTCTGATAAGTTTTATAAATAGTTCTGTTGATTTAGCTAAAAAAATAACACTTGAAAATTTGCGGTGTTAACTTCCTGTAGCACCACAAGATTCGAAAAATCAATTAAAAAACCATGAAATTTTATAGTTCTACAGTTCCTGATAGGTTTTAACAATAGTTCTGGTCTCTAAGTTATTTTAAATAATAATTAAAGCCGCGCGCTGGCATCGCAAGAGTAAAGTATCCATTAACAGCCAGTTCCAGCGGACTTTTTAGCATTTTCCTATAGTTCTACAATAGTTCCGACAATTTCTATAGATTTCACTCAGAATTCTGGTCTCTAAGTACTTTTTAATAATAATTAAATCCGCGCGCTGGCACCGCACCACAAGAGTAAAGTACCTTTTAACAGCCAGTTTCAGCGGACTTTTTAGCCGAAATTCATACACCGAAATAATGAGTATGCAATTTTTATCATATGATTTCACGTATATTTTCTTCAAATTCGTAATAAATTTTTTACAAATTTAAAATGCTAGTGCCATAAAGTTAACGAAAAAATTTAATTTGTAAAATTATTTTTTCAGTTTGATTGTGTTGCAAATACAAAAGTAACGGATGCTCATTAATATATTAAAGAACTTGTAAAAATGGTAAGAGAATTGAATTTTTCAAATTTGACCGCAGTTGTCGCTTTCCTTACGCGCGTACAATCAGTTAATATCTTTATATTACTTACAGAAGCATTTAAATTAATAAAAAACGTTGAAAAATCAGTTGGAACTAGTTGTTAAGGAGGTTGTAAGATAAATGCAATATGTTAAGAATTATTTGAGAAAATTACAAATTATTTTAAATTGCATTTAAAAGTTATACAAAATAATTAGAGACAGTTGATCATCTGAATCAAAAGTTATTTCAATAGACAATATTTTTTAAATTTGTACAAATATATGAAAATATATAAAACAAAGATAAAAATCTCAATTTTTTTATATAATTATTTTATGAATAGAAAAAAATTTATGCAAAGTTACATTGAAATGCAGACATTAATTTGTTCAGTAAATAAACAAAGTATTTATTTGTTATAAACTAATTGATGAATCTTAATAAAACTTTGCATTTTTAATACTTAAAATATTTATATAAAAAAATTTAGATTTTTGTTATTTTTAAAGTTTTTGTTTATAACAATAAAACTAATAATATAAATAATCATAATAATATAACAAATAATATAAATAATCTATAAAAATATGTTGCTCAAAAAAACAATGTTATCAACACAACTCACATATATGTAGTTTGTTTAAAGCGTAAATATGTGTTTTTATGCCCTTACAATCTTCTTAAGAGGTATTTTACTCTTGTGGTGCGGTGCCAGCGCGCCGGTTTAATTATTATTAAAAAGTACTTAGAGACTGGAACTATTGTTAAAACCTATCAGGAACTGTAGAACTCATCGAGAACTATAAAATTTCATGGTTTTCAATTGATTTTTCGAATCTTGTGCCACGGGAAGTTGGCACCGCAAATTTTCAAGTGTTATTTTTTTTAGCTAAATTAACGGAACTATTTATAAAACCTATCAAAAACTAAAGAACTATTGCGGGTGCCAACCCGCATAGAACTCTTATCAAAACTTGCGACAAAAGATGAGATGCCAACTTCACACACGTTAATCCAACTAATTCAAAAAAGTTGTAACGTAAAAATAATTGAGCTATGTTCTTTTGTTTCTCTCTGATTAAAAATAAAATGAATGATCGATGTGAACACTCACAAACCAAGTCGAACACAGCCCGAATATTAGGCTAATCACGGCGCGCAGCATCGGTCAAGCGAGATTAAATTATCCGACACTTATCCAATGTTGTCTTATAGTAATGTAAATTGTTTATACTTTATTATATCTGTTAAATGATGATATTTTTATTATATCTATATAATTTCGTTATTAGTTTAGCTGGTTGTAATTGAAGTAGATAATAAATAACATATATAGGAATTGAAGAAGTGGTGTAGCGAGTAACATAGAAGATTCATAATCCAGAGATCCCAAGTTCGAATCTCACTAAGGTGCGTTTTTAATATCAATTTGAAGTAGTTAATTTCAGGTATAATTATTATAAATGTCTTAGGAATAAAATTTGTAATCCTTAAATATGAATGTTTTTTTTTTCGAATATTAAACTAGTGTCAGCTCAGATCCAATCCATTTCAATCCATTCAATCCATTTTCATGGATTTAATGTACGCATTCAAAAAATTTTAATCCATTTTAATCTATTCTTGTTTGCTGGATATACAATATTACGGATTCACGGCAACAGGATGACTCCTGGATATAATCTGTACCGTCGTAGCCAGAGTTATGTCTACAAATCGTCTTGTCATCGTGAATCCGCAATGTTATACACTCTGTATATCACGCCGGAGTTTTTGTTTGGAAAGTAACGACTATGTATATCATCTCAGTACATGCTTTTCAACGATATTTACTTGCCGAGATCGGATCTGATCAGCAATTGATGTATCTCCTATCCCAGCAAACGAAAATGGATTGAAATGGATTGGAAATTTTCAATTCCGAATTTGTATTTTTAAACCATAAAAATGGATTGGATTCCATATAAAAAATTTTTATACGTGTAAAAGTTTAAATAAATTAAAGTAGTAATTACATGAACTTCTATAGTTATTATTTTAAAACTTTTATACAAAAAATATACATTAGCTATATAATTAAGGAAATGTATCAATATGAAATATAAAAGCAATTAATTTATTAATTAAAAATAAGTAATTTATATGTGTAACATTTATTGTACATATTTACGTAGTTTTTTTCACGTTTCTTTTAACTATTAAATGAAGTAGAATTCATGATATATTTTTATAGTACTTTTTTTTAATTCAATTGAATTAAAATGATAAATTTCTTATTCATAATTCTCAATAAAATAGCATTCGATCATGACACATTTTTAAATGAAACAATGGATTTTCTACTCACAATTTTGAATTGAATAGCATTCATGGCCCATTTTAAAAGAAAAATTTTTTTTAATTTAATTGGATTATAAAACTGCATTTCTTATTCAAAATTTTGAGCAGTATTCATAATGCACAGAAATAGCTGATACATATTATTTTTAGAGAGATTCAACTAGATTAGAAAACTGCATTTCCTATTCGCAATTTTGAATTGAACAGTATTCACGATGTCACACAAAATATTATAATATTATTTGTAGATTGAGAAACATAGAAATATATTTCATGTCATTCCTATAAGTGAAGAAAAATGCATTCAAAATTAAAAAGGAATAGACATTTATGCAGTTCGTATAAATGAATGAAAATGCATCCAGGATTGAAAAGGATTTATCTTAACATTCATAAATTCGTATTTCTGAAAATCTGAATACATTTTAATCCATTCAACCGAATTGATCGTATGTTTCATTTCTATTCACATTGGATGATGTACAGAAAGTAAATAACCAATCCATAATTACTAATTCAAATTCGAATTACGGATTGAAAAGAATTTAAAAAATTTAAAAACTTGATTCGACATTACTTCAATGAATAATTTTTAACATTTTTTAATAATTTCTCGACGTGACAAAAATAGAGCGACATTTGTATTGTCTTGTGTCATCAAATGGAAAGCACTCAAATTGTGTCTAGGACTTCTTTTCATTGGATTCTCTTCCAATTTGGCGCACAAACTAGTCCCACTTTTTCTGCTCGCATGGTATCCAATTAAGTCTCCTCCTCTCTTACTTCGTGGGTAATAAATAGATTTGTACTTACCAGAACGCCGATGTCCTTATTGCTAAATATCTGCGAGTATTCGATCACGGTCGATTGATTAAAATATATGTATTCGGTGGCGAAGCTATCATTGAGCCACACCGCAAAACCATAACCGCTGTTGGACGATATACTGCTGCGGGACACGTTACGATTGCCGCCCGAAACAGTGATGTTAACACCGTCCCCTTGATTGTATGCGATACGACTATCGGTAATGTTAACGTCCATCGCGCCACCTAACACGTGTACGCCTGCCACGTGATTGTTATCTGATACCGAGGTCTCGTGAATGTGCAAGGCGGATCTTAGCTTTTCCACGATGATACCACGACCGTTATTACTCGTTATTGTACTACCGGTCACATTGAGATCATATGTTTTTTCTGTGAAAAAAGAATAATATTAAACATCTTTCATTAAAATAAAAATAAATAAATTAGGCTCACAGATAATAAATTAAATAAAAAATTAAATGCCTAGGGCATTTTATCTCTTATTTTTTTTATCTTTTATAAACTTGATAACTTAAAAGTAAGAGATCAATATAATCCGGAATAATGTGTAAATTCTTGTTAAACTTACTGTAGCCCGATGATACTCGCACAAACACGAGTGCGTTAGTTCGGGGTTCAGCTATGAATTTTATAAAAAGATTATGACCGGTTGAGGTCACGCTCTGCGGTAAAGTTCCGTTTCTGACTTTGACAGTAGCTAAAAGCCTCACCGTTCCATCATACACCTCTATGATGGCGCTATCATTTCTATCGGTTTTCATTTGCAAAAAATGCACTGTCAGGACATAGCCTAGCGTTGTGAAGATTTGCTGAATAATATTATTATCATTTGTTAATATAGTTATACAAAAATAGACCTTTTTTTAAGACTTGAATAAACGACGTATTTTTTGATGTATTTTTCTTCGCCGAAAACGAATTTGGCCGTGGAATTGGCCTAAGGGCTAAACGTTAGGTTTTCGAAAAAATTGTTAAATGTGCCTAAATTGGGGCTTTTTTGGCCATATTACCATTTTTTTGTGGCTAAAATAAATTTTTTTTTCATTTACATTTACGCCACTTTAAAGTGCTATTTCTTACTTATAAAATAAATTTATATTTATTACGGTATGATTTTTTGTCATACAATATATATATAATAATAGGGAGTTTGCATAATTTTTGGAAAATATTACATTTAGTAATTTACATATATCTTTAACTGCAATTTTTTAATAAGTTTTTAACGCAAATTATTTAAGAAAATAAATAATAAAGTATTGCATTATTTGAAATATACTGAAGACGGCCCGGATACGACCGAGCCCTCCCGAACGCGCTGTGACGTCACGATAAAATTATTCAATAAGAAATTAATTTATTTAAAAAATGAGCAAAGGAAACATACAAAACGTGTTTTATACCTTTATATAAAAGCACAACAAGTAAAACATCGAAAAAAATTGTTCTTTTATGTGCCTCAAGCTGAAAATGTGAGAAAAAAATAGTTTAAAATTCACATCGTGTTGATGAACTAGGAAAATGGAATTATTTTTATTGTGAAGATCATTTCGTATTATATAAAATATGTATACATGTACGTATAAAATATGTTTTTTATGATTTTTAATTATACTAATAATTAATATAAAAATATTAATCATGTTCATGTAAAAATATCCAATATAACCTAAAATATAAGCTAAAACATTGAATGTTAAATGTAAAGATATTTTGGGAATTTGTAATTATTCTACATCTAAAAATTATTTTAAAATTAGAATTCATAATTAATAAAAAAAAACATGTTTTTAATGTGTAAATGCCATTTTTTAAATATTTATAATCTTAAATTAATAAAATTTATCAGAATAACTTGCTTTTTTAATTTTCAAACATTTTTTCTTTTGCAAACGTTATGAAATTCAACTGACAATAAATTTTTTTAGTACAAAAGTTAAACATTAACTAATAAATTGATAATGTATAAACTCTTCTTTCCCATTGATAATATATAAATTGTTCTTTCCTCTTTATATCTAATAAAATGTACGAATATGTCTTAACTACTGATTATCAAATTGTTTTGCTTTAGCTTGTTCGATTACTTTATAAAATTAGAGCTGTAACATAAATTTTCAATTGTAGATTCAAAATTCATTGTCATCTCATTAGTTATAATAAATTTTTTTAAAATTGCAACATTATTGTAGACAAGACTGATTTTCTCCAATAATTTGTTATTCAATTTCAGTTGGGAATGCAGACTCGTATGATCTATTAATCGACATTAAGAAAGCTATACCATATGTTTACATTCCCTTATAATAAAATTCAATATATTTATAAAAACTTATATATTTATATTATAACAAATATGTATTACTACGTTCTTCGCTTGGTTTCTGGTGACAGAGCTTCATATCTGGATGACAATGATTCGCTATATGACAGAAGGATGGAAAAGCTATCAGAAATTATACAGTAGTAGCAATGTAGCAGGACATACGAGTCAGGATAGAAAATCGGTGTAGGTAGCATTGTGATTGTACTTTTGATATACTGTCATATATATCAGGTGTCTCAGACCACTTGTACATCCCTTTTACCTCGAAAACAGAGCATTTTTTAGAAAAAAAAAATGTCAAGATCAAACCAATTATATCTTATGTCCTCCTCAAAGTCACAAAACTTTTGTCTAAAACATTTTTTTCTAAAATGCACTATTCAAGAAAAAAGAGGGTACAAATTTTTGAAGGTTTCCCAACCACTCGGGGATCGTTTTATTTGTATGTTTTCTTATATATTTTTCTTCATAGAAACCGAAAATATTCATTATAATAACGTCAGACTTAAGGAAAAATTGGTACATTGAAATATAATAAATAAAATCCTTATTCGCATTGTTATGAAATTATTGTCAGTTATACCTTAATGTTTTAGAAATTAATTCCAAATTGGATCAAATGCGAGTAATATTGCACTACAAAACGTTAATAGATTATATTTTTCATTATACCATTTGTCACCTCGATACCGTTTCCCCCACTCCAAGCGTCGCGCGTCTGCCGTAAGCTGTACGTGTTAAAGATCGAATAGATGAGTGATTTTGTGGCGCAAAAAATAAGCAACATATTCATAGACTTCATGCTTGTGTGTGAATAGATTGATGTTCGTTTATTGCGCCACAAGTCGTTCGTCTGTCCCTAATCGTTTGACAGCTTTTGAGTGTCTCGACTATCCGTTAACTGCTTTTCATCTTATTTGACGGTAAGATTATTAATTTTTTTGTAATAAATATCCTAATGAGAAATATAATCTAATTAACGTTTTGTGATGCAATATTACTCGTATTTGATCCAACTTGGAATTAATTTCTAAATCATTGAGGCATAAGTGACAGTGATTTCATAACTACGATACAAATAAGGATTTTATTCATTTTATTTCAATGTACCAATTTTTCTTTAAGTCTGGCGATATAATGATTTTTTTCGATTTCTATGAAAAAATATATATAAGAAAACATACAAATAAAATGATCCCCGAGTGGTCGGAAAACTCTCAAAAATTTGTACCCTCCTTTAAGATCGTCATTTAAAATGGAATATCCTGTATATATAAACTTTTATCTATATATGTAAACGACTGTTTATTAAATTATTTTACTTTTATTAAATAAAGTTTAATTGTTTTTTAAACTACATATACTACATATACTTGCTCTCAAATACTTTAACCTTCTGATACTGCACATTCAAAACATTCTACGCGTTGAACTAACTATTTCATTTTCTTCGTCGGCAATACAGATTATAGTATAATCTTTTTGTCGAACTCGGTGTTCAAGGTAGATTCTCCCTTTTATATCCTTCTTGTTTGATCCTAACATAACCTATAGGTTATATTCCGCTACCTAGCAAATGAGAATAGATTGAAATAGATTCAGATTTTCAGAAATACGGATTCATGAATGTTAAAATAAATTCTTTCAATTCTGAATGCATTTTTATTCATTTATAGAAATTGCATGAAACAAATGTTTACTCCTTTTTAATCTTGAATGCATTTTTATTTATTTATAGGAATGGCATGGAGTATATACTTGTATTTCTATGCTTTTTAATCTAAAAATAATATTATAGTACAATATTTTGTGTGCATCGTGAATACTGCTTAATTTAAAATTCTGAATAGAAAATGCAGTTTTTTAATCCATTTAAATAAAAAAAATTTTTCTTTTAAAATGGGCCATAAATACTATTCAATTCAAAATTGTGAGTAGAAAATTTATTGTGAAAAATGCATCATGAATGCTATTTTATTCAGAATTATAAGAAATTTTTCGTTTTAATTCAATTGAATTAAAAAGAAGTTGTACCATAAAAATATATCATGAATTCCATTTAATAATTAAAAGAAACGTAAAAAGAACTAAATATGTACAATAAATGTTACATACAGGGTGGGGCATTTTAATCGCCCCAGGTGAATATCTCAGAAACTAAGACAGATACAAGAAAAAATTTTATATAAAAGTTATAGGTTTTCTTGGAAGAAAAAAGGTGGAAATAATGGATTTTGGATAAGAGGCACTACCAAGGTCAAGGCCAATATGAATTTTTTAAATAGAATCTGTATTTTGTATTGCATATTCTTGTAGCACATCTTGAGAGCTTTTCAAAATACTATAATATAGTATTTTTTCGTTAAGTATTTTTCGAGTTATAGGACTCGAAAGTTACAGTACTTCCGATATTAGCATTGCCCAAGATGTCCAACCGATGGTCAAAAACCCTTTGAATGTTGTTTAGGATCATGACCTGGATAACATTTGTCAAAATCAAGACTGATTATATCTCTTATTTTTATTTTTACGTAAAAATGCATTTTTAATGCAAAAATGAAAATAAGAAGAACGACCTCAAATGACCTTGTCAAATGACCTGTCGGTCGGATACCTTGGGTAATGATATAATGCCGAAGGTACTGTAACTTTCGAGCCCTATAACTCGAAAAGCACTTAAAAAATATTTTATTATAGTGTTTTAGAAAGCTCTTCAGGTGTGCTACAAGAACATACAATAAAAAATGGGGGACTCCATTTAAAAAATTTATTAAGATTTGGGAAAATTTGGGGGGGATTATCAGAATGATTGTGTGAATCCGATAATTTATCGGCTCTCAATTTATATTTCTGAAATAAATTAATTTAATTTAATTTTAAATGAATGTTAGTACAACATCTTAACACTCGGAACTGTAAAAGCGCTTCGTATTTAACGTTTAAAAAATTTTTGTTGATTTTGATCTGATCTTAGTAGTGCCCCTTATTCGTTATTTTCATCCCTAAAATCCGTTATTTTTACCTTCTTTACTCCAAGAAAACCTATAACTTTCATATAAAACTTTTTCTTGTATCTCTCTTAGATAGTATCTTTCTGAGATATTCGCCTGGGGCGATTAAAATGCCCTACTCTGTATATAAACTCCTTATTTTTAATTAATCGTTTTTATGTATATTTTATATTAATACATTTCCTTTATTATACAGCTAGCGTATATTTTTTGTATAAAAGTTTTAAAATAATAATTATATATAGAATTTTTTTTATTAATAATTATATATAGAGTAATTACTTTAATTTATTTAAACTGTTACTATATAAAAATTTTTTATATGGAATCCAATCCATTTTTATGGATTTAAAATACGGATTCGGATGGATTAAAAATTTCCAATCCATTTCAATCTATTTTCGTTTGCTGGGTATAGCGGAGTCAGTATAATTTTCTCTTGATGAGCTATGATATTGTAGATACATTAATT